ACACCTAGTACAGCGGTTCGTGGCCCCACAGGGAGCTCCACCGAAGGTCCCAGTGTTACCGTCCGCATGCGTCCCGCACACCCAGTACAGCGTTTCGTGGCCCCATAGGGAGCTCCACTCAAGGTCCCAGTGCTACTGTCCGCATGCGTCCCGCACACCCAGTACAGCGTTTCGTGGCCCTCCTCCCCCTCCTCCCTGCGTTTCACCCACCCAGTACAGCGTTTCGTGGTCCCATAGGGAGCCCCACCGAAAGTCCTAGTGCTACCGTCCGCATGCGTCCCGCACACCTAGTACAGCGCTTCGTGGCCCCATAGGGAGCTCCCAGTGCTACCGTCCGCATGCGTCCCGCACACCCAGTACAGCGGTTCGTGGCCCTCCTCCCCCTCCTCCCTGCGTTTCACCCACCACCGAAGGTCCCAGTGCTACCGTCCGCATGCGTCCCGCACACCCAGTACAGCGCTTCGTGGCCCCATAGGGAGCTCCACCGAAGGTCCCAGTGCTACCGTCCGCATGCGTCCCGCACACCCAGTACAGCGTTTCGTGGCCCTCCTCCCCCTCCTCCCTGCGTGTCACCCATCCAGTACAGCGTTTCGTGGCCCCATAGGGAGCCCCACCGAAGGTCCCAGTGCTACCGTCCGCATGCGTCTCGCACGCCCAGTGCAGCGTTTCGTGGCCCCATAGTAGGCTCCACCCAAGGCCCCAGTGCCACCGTCCGCATGCGTCCCGCACACCCAGTACAGCGCTTCGTGGCCCCATAGGGAGCTCCACCGAAGGCTCCAGTGCCCCCGTCCGCATGCGTCCCGGAAGCCCAATTTTGCATTTTCGCTCACCCACTGCAGCGTTTCGTGGCCCCATAGGGGGCTCCACCCAAGGCCCCAGTGCCACCGTCCGCATGCGTCCGGGAAATGTAATTTGGCATTTTCACCCGCGCAGTGCAGCGTTTCGTGGCCCCAAGGGGGCTCCACCGAAGCCCCCAGTGGGACCGTCCGCATGCGTCCCGGAAGCCCAATTTGGCATTTTGATTCACTCAGTACAGCGTTTCGTGGCCACATAGGGAGCTCCACCGAAGCCCTCAGTGGGACCGTCCGCATGCGTCCCGGAAACCCAATTCGGCACACCACCCACACAGTACAGCGTTCCCCCCCGCCAAGTGCAGCGCTTCGTGGCCCCATAGGGAGCTTCACCGAAGCAGATATTCACAATTTCGGTACCCACAACTGCTTATGGTTGGGACCATCGCCAGGATAATTTGACTGTTTTGCATTTTCCTGAGAAATTCGCCTGTAGGAGGAAATGCCCGACCTCATGATACGGGCCGACTGCAATGCAGAGCCGCTTCGGCGGAGTGGCCGTCAGCCTTCTCCCAGCCTGCCTACGAGGAAGGGGGGGCGGTGCGCGTCCGGCGCGCCCCAGTCCAAGGTTTGTCCGGGCAGGTTGTGTGCGCGAACGAGATGGGCACGGAAAGAACGGGTCCAATGCTCAACAGCAGTTCCTGTTTATTTTGAACAGGATTCGCTGTCTGCGCCGCCGCGGCCTACGTCCCTGTGAGACAGGAGGCCGCCTGTCCAACAGCGGCCGCTGATGGGTTGGGACAACATTTGTTGCTGGGCACTGTGCCCATTGTTTCCGCACCCCTATCGGGCGTCCAAAGGCCGGGGGGCGCGCCCCCCGACGGCTCCTTGCCCCCCTCGAAAGAGAAGCGCATGCACACACGCACACACACACACATCATCGAGAGCGCGAGAACCCCAAACCCTGGTAACCCGAGGCAGACGTGGCCTAACTGAGGTCCCCGCCAGTTGCATCCGGGATCATAGTTCCGTGCGGCTTGGTTCCGCACATCCGCAGAAAGGCCACCAATGTTCCTGGCCCTCCTGACTTAGGTCCCCTCCCCAAGGGTGAGGGGTCCTCATTTTCGGTTCTACAATACTCGGGCCGGGCGAAAGGGGGGGATTGGGAAAGGGGGGGTTACGAAATTTGCTGCATGCAGCTGGTTTCGGCCTCACCGAGGGGCCCATTCCTCGATACATGGCCGCCTCCGGCGCCGGGAGGCGCCGGGAAAATCAGCTGCGTGAGCTGATTCTCAAACCCCCCCTTTGCTATCCCCCCCTTTCGCCCGACCCGAAATACGTTGGCAGCGCCCCGCGCGGATTTCTTGGATCCGCGCTGGGCCCCCGTGGCCATGCTTCCGGCGCCGCCCACGCTCCGCGCGCCAGGGATGGCAGTCCAGCGCGGATCCACGAGATCCGCGCAGACCTCCGAGAGTTTGGATGTATGCCAGCGTGTCCTCCCCGTTATTCAGGAGGGAGAGAAACACAGACACAATGAATCTTCGACCTACCGGAAAATATGGGAAGTGGGGGGGAAGACAAAAACCCATAAAATATCGGAAAATCTGGGGGATGATGTTTTTTGTGTGTATTTATGTGTGTGTGTCCTTGGGCCCCTTGAGTTATGTTGGTGTCATGCTTGTTCTCCGGGCGCGTTCGACTACTCGCAAAGTGATTATTCGCAAACGTACGATAAAGAATTATGTTCGCCTCGATGTAATGGGTCGTACATCCTCCTCGGCGGAGCCAGGCCATGTGCGAGTAGGTACTGTGCGAGAAGTGGAACGCGCGGACCTCCGAGAGTTCGGATGTATGCCGGCGTGTCCTCCTCGTTCTGCTGGTGCCATGTTTGCGGCGTGGCGTTCTTTGCTCCTCGACGACTCAGAGGAGGAACGAACAGGTACCCATACCCCTACCCTCGCCACTCTTTCCCCTTTTTGGGCCTTCTGGGCAGCCCTCGTCCCCACCTCTGGATTCGCCTTGAAATCCTGGTCAGAACGCACCCCGGGAGAGGTCCGGGGAGTACCTTTAGGTGGCCCCAACAGCGGCTCCCTGCTCCCAGTCTCAAGGGAAGGAAAGCCACCCCTGGACCCGGTCACTGGAGCTTACGAAACGGCCCTGGGCGTTTACGGAACCGCCCCGCCCCGTTCGATTCCTTCTCTGGGTGCGTTTGCCCAAAACGGCCTCGCTCGTCGGGGTGATCATTCTGGGGGTGTCTCTGTTGCCCTCTACAGCTCTGTTGCCCTTCCCCCCACGACGCCCCCCGCGACCGCCCTGGACCGCCGATCGAGGCCCGACGGCTCCGCCCCGCGCTCGGGGGCGGAAAAGAGGGGGGTGATGACTAGGGGTGGGTGGGTATCATGGCGTGGGCCATGATATTTCCCCAGATCTCATGGCGCCTCTTCCTATTTCATTGCGCTCCTGGCCCCCCCGCCGGGCCGCGCACATGCCGCCGGTCATGGACACCCCCCTCTTGGACACCCCTCTCTTGTCGCTCCCGACGCGCAGGACCCCCTGGGGACCCGCTGATTATCCTCTAGTCGGGCACGTCTCGCCCTGCAGCGCGGTGGGTTCGCGCGGCGCCGGCGCGCCGGCGGCGCCAGCGACGGCGTTCCGAGCCAGGTTGGAGTTCTGCGACGCGGGAGCACCGAGGGACACGGTGACGCCACTGGTCAGGAGGGGGAAAAAAAAACACACAGACACAATTAATCGGCGATTCCCCAGAAAATATGGGAAAATATGGGAAGTGGGGGGGAAGACAGAAACCCAGAACATATGGGAAAATATGGGGGATATTTTTATTTGTGTGTATTTATTTGTGTGTCCTAATTTCCCTTTAACTGGACCCGACGGGATTCGACCTTGAGCGATCGGGGCCGCGATCGACTCCAGGTTGACCGATCGACGCGGTGTCGAAAGCCTGTGCGCGCGCCGACGCCGCGCAAACTTTCCGTAGGAATATGAACGAATAGTCAAAAATTATCTGGGGGCGATTGTTTCGTGTTTGATTATTTGAGGTGTTTCGAGTGGTACTGACTATTTTTGAGTTTTCTTCCAAGATCCGCCTGTAGAAGGACATGCCCGACCTAACGCTATTTTCACCGAGCACGTTCCACTACTCGCACAGTGCCTACTCGCAAACGTCCGAAAAGCACATGTCTTCCTCTATGTAAGAGATCGTAAATCCTCCGCGGCGGATCCAGGCCATTTGCAAGTCAAGACAATCCGCATAGTACGGATTGGCAACCTGCTCCAGGGTGCCTTTGCATCCTTGCCCCTTCGGCCCATCCTGGGCGACTTTCGCTGGCCAACCTCGCTCGAAAAACGTCAACTTGGCCCTCCAAGGCCCTTCCATGCAGTTCCAGGCCATTTGCGAGTAGTGGAACGCGCTTGTCTATCTTGGGCTCCCATCGCCGATCTATCGGCAGTGTGTCGTCGGTTCCAGGTCGATGGTCCGTCTGGCCTTCCCAGGGTGCCTCCGCGGTCGCCTGGGCGCCTGCGAGGCCTCGTTGCGCGATGGGCTGCCTCGACACGCTGGGGATGATTGCTTCTGGGGGTTCTGGGGGATCGAGGATGTTCCCCCCTGAGCCACAGTCCTCCCTCCTGCCGTTCCTAGGGGAACGAACAATGACATAAACATCACAACTCGGAGGTCCGCGCGGATTTCTCGGATCGGCGCTGGACCCACATCCCTGGTGCGCGCCAGGAGCGGCGCCGGAGGCGCCGCCAGGGGGCTGCAGCGCGGATCCGAATCGGGCGTTGGCAGTACTGGGTTTAGTGGAACCTGGTTTAGTGATCTGTACCGGGGCCCCTCCCCGTCCCATTTCCACTAATCGGAAGTGCCGTCACCCGAAAAAACAAAAGCTATGGCAAACCTGGTTTAGTGAATCTGGCCAATTGAGGGGCCCCAGGGCCCTACCATTAACCGGGTCCCCTTACCCGGGGTCCTGGCTATACCCGACCGAGAAATCCGCGCGGACCTCCGAGTTTTTTTTGTTTGTGTCATGGTTTGTCCCTCTAGTTCCTCCTCCTCCTCCCCCTCCTCCTCCTCCTCCTTCTCCTCCTCCTCCTCCTCGCTCCTCCTCCCCCTCCTCCTCCTCCTCCTCCTCCTCCGCCGCCGCCGCCGCCGCCGCCGCCGCCGCCGCCGCCTCCCCGCGACGCCCCCCGCAGGGAGTCGGCGAGGGTGGTCCCGAGGGCGCAGAGGTCCATGGGCGATCTGAGGTGCTCGACGGCCGCGGGCCTGGGCCTCTTCTAGTGATCCCCGCACGCTGCGCCGCCGCACGCGCGGCACGGGGGGAGAGGCACGAAGACGAGGAGGAGCGCCCTCCTCCTCCTCGAGGAGGGAGCGCGGGGAGGCGAGGAGGAAGAGGAGGAGGGGGAGGAGGAGGAGGAGGAGGAGGAGGAGGAGGAGGAGGAGGAAGAGGTTAATCAGGAGGAGGAGGAGGAGGAGGAGGGAGGTTTATCGAGAGGAGGGCGGAGGGGGATTTGAGTGATAACACCCAGCGTACATATAAACATTTTTCGGAGCTCCCCGGCGGCATGCTGGGCGGCGCCAGAGGCGCCGCCAGAGGGATCAGGCGCCGATAGAGGCAATGCACGCGGACTTCAGACAGGTTCTCCCGTTCTTGATCCTTTAGAGACGAGAAGGACGGAGTACGGAGGCGTGTGGTGCTTCCCCGACCATCTGTTGGCGTTGGGTCCTCGTTTTGAAGAGACATCGCTCTGTGTCTCCTCCTCCTCTTCTCCTCCTCGCCCTCTTCTCTCCTTCCATCATCATTATCATCATCATCATCATCATCATCAGCATCATCATCATCATCGTCATCGTCATCGTCATCAGCTTCATCATTCACACCATCATCTGCATCATCAGCATCATCATCATAATCAACATCAGCAGCGTCATCATCATCACCATCATCAGCATAAGCATGATGATGATCATCATTGGCATCATCATTAGCATAATCAGCATCACCATCCTCATCACCCGCATCATGACCATCATCATCACTACCATCATCATTATCGTCATCAGCAGCAGCATCATCATACTCATTCGCATATTCAGCCCCATCCTCATGCTCATGCTCATCCATAATCATTCCTATCATCATCCTGATCACCATCATTTTCATCATCATCATCATCATCATCATCATCATCATCATCATCATCATCATCATCATCATCATCATCATCATCATCATCCCCACCATCACCATCACCATCACCATCACCATCACAATCATCACCGCCATTAGCTTCGGATCCACCATCAGCGTCGTCACACCCCTCACACGGTTCGTGGCCCCATAGGAAGCTCCACGAAGACCCAAGTGGCAGGGTTCGCATGGCGGTCCTGCCCCAGTGCGACACCCCTCACACGTTTCGTGGCACCATAGGGAGCTCCACCTACGGCCCCAGTGGCAGGTTTCGCATGGCGGCTCCGCCCCCGTTCGACACTCCTCACACGCTTCGTGGCCCCATAGGGAGCTCCATCTAAGGCCCCAGTGGCAGGGTTCGCATGGCGGCCCCGCCCCATTCCGGCACACCCCTCACCCGTTTCGTGGCCACATAGGAGCACCACCGAATGCCCCAATTGCAGGGTTCGAATGGCGGCTCCGCCCCTTTCCGGCACACCGCTCACACGCGTCGTGGCCCCATAGGGAGCTCCACCGAAGGCCCCAGTGGCAGGGCTCACATGGCGAACCAGCCTTATTCTTGCACACCCATCATACGTTTTGTTGCCCCATAAGGAGCTCCATCGAATGCCCATTGGGTGTGACCACATGTGCCCCCGCCACCCATCTCGGGTCACCTCTCACACGCTTCATGGCCCCATAGGTAGCTCCACCGAAGAGAATCCACTGCGGTATTCACAGATGCATATTGCTGGGTCCTTCGGCGGGATACTGGTTTTCTGTTGTGGATCGCGCCCAGCGCAGGTGAACCAGAATAGACGCATCCGTCGGACTCAGGGTCGGGGTCCATCGACGACCCGTCTCGACGGGCGTTTTCTCCAAGCGCTTGGACACGCGGCAGGTCGCACCTGAGCAGGCCGAAGGATTCAAGCACCGTCTCCCTCGGTGCAAACCCTGCAGCCGCATGCCAGTTCGGGGCCACTGAGGTTCGGTCGGCTGGCGGCGGCGGAGACAAAGTTGTTTGGTTCACGGTCTCCCTATCCTGGTTGGGCATTGGACGAGGGCGATTGAGCGCAAGTTTTTTAAGCTTTTTGATGGTCGCACGGTAATGGGTGTGACGCCCATTCTTGATGCGACCCAGTTCGGATGTGTTGCTTGCACTGGCGGGTGCACTTTCGCACAGCGCTTGCAGCACGCAGCCGGGCTTGAAGTCCGTGCAGTACGCGCCGCAACGATAACAAACCGTAAGCCGTTGCCCTTGAGCGCAGGGCGATCGACAGTGCACTTGGGGATCCCGTGCCCCCAGACGTAGTACGCCTCGGGGGGGGGGCACCTTAGGCCCACGGAAAGCGCGCTTCCCCCCCCCACCGCACCGTCAACGTCCACCTACCCAGTCTCGCGGGCCTAGAGATTGACACCAACACCAATATCGGCGGTGTGCATCCACCGAGGGAGGAAGATCCCGATCTCGGTGATGGTGGTAATATTCTGGCCTACAAGGTGGCCGAAATGTTGCCACCAACACCGAAATCGAGGATCGGCCTCCCCCCTGTGGAGGCAACCCCTTGTGTTGGTGTCGGTGCCCTATTTCTAGGCCTCCAACAGTCCCTTCCCACAGGCGGGTCGCCGCCAGGAGCGCCCCCGTCCTCGACGGGCTCCTGCTCCGGAGCCTCCGCGCAGATCCACCGGCTCGTCGGCCTCGCGGCCCCGAGCCGCCCGCCGTGTGCGCGCGGGGCGCGCGGTGCCGCCAGGGGACGAAGGATTGCAAAAAAACCGAAGGATTGCAAAAAAAACCGAAGGATTGCAAAAAAACCCGAAGGATTGCAAAAAAACGAAGGATTGCAACGAAGGATTGCAAAAAAACGAAGGATTGCAACGAAGGGTTTTTTTGCAATCCTTCGGTCTGGTTCACCAGCCCATGGCCCAGCCCGCCGCGCCAACGCTCGGGTCGGGCGAAGGGGGGGGATTGGGAAAGGGGGGGGTACGAAATTTGCTGCATGCAGCCGGTTTCGGCCTCACCGAGGGGCCCGTTCCTCGATGCACAGCTCCATCCGGGGCCGGGAGGCGCCGGGGAAATCGGCTGCGTGAGCTGATTCTCAAACCCCCCCTTTGCTATCCCCCCCTTTCGCCCGACCCGAAACGCGCAGAACCCAAGCATGGAGTCGGCGTGGGCCCGTGAGGCTCCATGCAGGAGGCGCACCCGCCTTCGCACACGTGTCGGCACCAGCGCTTGGCTCTCCTCTCTCTCATGGAGTGGTCCTTGCCTGGTCCGCGCCGGCGGAAGTCGCATGGGCCAGGGCCCCATGGGCCTCAACAGCCGATTCTTGACAGCTGCTCCAAGACGGGGACCGCAGGTGGCCTCTGGGGGGGGCAGGGCCTCTGAGGTCTTCGCACGGTCCACATGGTGGCATGCTCACTTTGCACAGCATGTGTCGGCACGAACGGCGAGATGGGTACGGAAAGACTGGGTGCGATGCCCAGCCGCAGTTCCTGTTCATTTCGAGCAGCGCTCGTTGTCCGCGCCGCGGCGGGCCTAATGCATTTGAGACAGAAGGCCGCAACAGCGCCCGCTGTCGGTGTTGGACAACGATTGTGGTTGGGCATCGTACCCATTTGTTCCGTACCTGTTTCCGGCGTCCACAGTATAGATGGCGTATTCTTCGCCGTTCTTCGAGGTTTGGCGAGGGCCCATCTCGAGCGGCACGGGCCCGTAGATTGCGGGGACGATTCCGCCGAACTTGTCAATTCGGACCAAAGCCCTACCCCGCCCTGGCAACTCCAGGCAGGTTAGCGAACATGCCTGGCCCATGTGAAAGGCTGCAGCCCGTGACCAGGCGAGTCGCGGTTCTGTTGATCCAGTGGACCGTCTGGGCACGAAAACCTGGGGCGACGGACACATGCCTCGAGCGAACCTCTCCCTAACCTCGCGACCCGACTCCAACTCCCTCCCCGCTTTTTTGTCTTCAATCGAAGAAGACAAATTGCATAAACAAAAACTTTCGGCGCCCCGCGCGGATTTCTTGGACCGTAAACTTGTAGCAACCGCTCCTCGGCACCACTCCTGGATCATCGCTTCCAAGTGGTGGCCCCCCAGAACCATCCAGCTCCCAATACCAAACATACTCTCGGTTTCTTCATGAGCGTGGGGGGGTACACCCCCGACAGGGGTCAACCTCGCCTCGTCGTCGCGCCGCGACGGGGGTCAGAGCGCCTTCGGCGCGCGGTGGCGACCCGCGACGGGGGTCGACGTGGGGCTGTCGGCAGGGTTCACGTCCCCCCGACGCTTATTCAAGAAACTCGGAGCAATCAGAGGCTCGCTCCTCCTCCTCCTCCTCCCCCCCCTCCTCCTCCTCCTCCTCCTTGCCGGGGATCTTTTCTGAGCTCAGCGACGAGGCCTCTAAGCTCACCTGCTGGCGTGCCGTGGCCACGTGCGAAAGACCCTGGCGCCATCTCCCCGAGGAGCACGGGCGCGCGAGGGCACCGCGGAGCCCCATGGAGCACGCGAGCGTTGTTGAACTCACGGTTGTGCCGATCGGCGCGGGCCCTCGCCCCCCCCCCCCCCCCTTCTCCTCCTCCTCCTCGTCCTCGTCCTCCTCCTCTCCTCCTCCTCCCCTCCCCCTCCCCCCCCCCTCTCCCCTCCTCCCCCTCCTCCTCCTCCTCCTCCTCCTCCTCCTCCTCCTCCTCCTCAAGATGCAGTTGGCAAGCTGCAGTCTCTTCAAGATGCAGTTCGCAAGCTGTTCGGCGACGCGCTGGACAGGACCCAAGCCTTCCAGGCGGACCAGCAGAAGATGCTCGAGCGGCTCGCCGCCAAGCGGAGGCGCAAAGATGGAGACGGAGCAGCGGAGACAGTCGCGGGAGGTGGAGATCCTGCTCCTACTGCCGCTGCCGCCGCCGCGGGCGGCGACAACGTGGCTGCTGCTGGGGCAGCCGCCTCTGCCCCCCAGGCTGAGGTTCCAGGAGACGGCGCTGCTGCCGATCCCGACCGTGCAGATGTACGAGCCCGTGCTGAACGCCTGTTGTCACATGACCTCCCCCCCGCGGCTGAGGGGCAGCGGGGGGGCACAGCTGCAGCCTGAACATCATCATCTGAACCGCTCTGATGGACTCGCGC